CACTTCCGTGTGGATTGGCTACCCGCGCTCCCCATGTCAGGGGTCCTCCCTCCTGCTGTTGACTCCCGGATTGCCCACGCACAAACGCCAAACGTTGGCGCAGAAAACAGACAGGCCATTGTAGTATGGCATCAAACCACGCATAACCCACAGCGGCTTTCAGCAGCAGTACTGCTTGGTGAATGCGACCGGCCGTGTACTGCCAGTCTTAGCACCGATGAACCACCCCCTGATGCAGCCGCTGATGCAGCAGGCATATGGGTCTACACCGCCGAGCTCTGACCAGTTTGTTTTGAACTCGCCTACACAGGGTTGTAATACCAGGGGGGCATTTCTGTTGTCATATGGTATGATGTTTCATAGACGTCAGTATGTATAACATTATGCAATTGGGTGGGTGGGGTGAGGTGGGTTCCTCCTTTCTAGGTTGCCCACTCTTCCCTGCCACACATCTCACGTCGCCACTTACTAGTAGCACCACGCGACTTGACGCGGGGTGGCACATCCTCTGCTTCGGTGATGGCGGCTGGTGCACTCATCGGGACCACAGTTCCGCCGCGTCCTCGACGGTGCCAGTCTCCGCGTCCCTGTGTCCCTGATCCTCCACGGCCCCCTCCGATGCCGTTTTGATCTTGAACAAGAGGGATTTCGCGTCCGAGACGGTAAGGCCCGGTACATTCCCTCTCAGTGCCATGGCGGCGCGAAGCGGGGACAGCTGGAAATCCTCTGCAATGAAGGACACATTGTCTTTCAAAACACCGTTCGCAAAGTTTCCGGTTGTTCTCGGCACGGCACGGGGACATCGCCGCCCCACGTCTCTGGCACAGACTCGCGCTTTTCTCTCTGTGATCAATCTCTCACCTCGGAACAGTTCCCATGCTTCACCAACGGAGTAGACGCCGAGATCTTCTTCGAATTGACGACGCACAGCATCCACCCGTTCATCGTCCCCGTCCAGCACATCGTGGAGACACGTCGCGAGAGCAGCGACATCAGACTATAGACGCAGCAGAGAATCAAATAAACCCCGAGTGAAGGCGAATGGCTGCAAGTGCACCATGGCGCATTTGCATGGTTGGAAGCCACAAAGCATGAAAAGACATACCGCGTCATTTGGACTTCGTGTCAGCTGGTCTCGAGGGTCTCCATCTTCCGCAGTGTCCTCCAGGGCGACATTTATAGCGGCCATTTACTCGCCACTCCTACCCGAAAGTAACCTATCTTCTATGTAATCAACGCTAAACGCTGAAGTTGGGTAGGTATGTAATACTATTGTAAGATTATCGCCTGTGACATGCTTGCAACCCATACTTACATGCGCACCAAACTCTTGTTGTACGGAAGCGTGGTGTATGCATTAATGCATGACAGTGCGCGGCGCTGGAAGTGCTTTTGGTATACTTATACATCTCTATGCCGTTGTTGTGCAATATCTAAGGCGTGTTCCTTTTAAAAAGCTGAAGGTATTTAGACAGTAGGGAAGCATTTCTAAAAATCTCGGTAAACCATTGTAATAAGTATGCCAGTTTATATTATCACCATAGGTTCTTGTGTCGAACGGTGCTAAATGAACCATGGTGCATGCATGGAAGTATTCGGGGCGGAGAAGTCTTAGGCCTCTGCTATGGAAGTCCTGGAGAAACGTCAGCTTGATTGCAGAGTCTGTGGACGCCAGCACACGATTAACTTGTGTTGCTGTGGCCACCCAGCGCCATGCACGGTCCTGTACCCACAATTTTGTGTTCAGGCGCTTTGTGGCTTCGATGGATCTAGCTGTGGAGTTAAGTATGCGTCCTTCGCAGCCTTCGCACCGGCAGTGTTGGATACGGATGCCGGTATGCCATGTTTTCAGACCTGTTGTCGCAGCGCGGGCTTCGAAGCACGGCGCCGTTGCCCGGTCCGTTACCCATGCCGGGCGCCCGTCCAGCGCGCCCCGCCTTCCTGCAACAACTAGCCGAGCGTCGGCGCCGTGTTATCGGTGGGATGTCGTGCCCTGGACTGCGTGACGAATGTTACGCCTGCCTATACGGCTGTTCCCAGGCGGGTGTGTTGGGGCCGCGGGACATTGAGGCCGCCATCATGGACACGGGCGGCGATGCAGGGCGCGCGCTAGCCTGGTACCCCGGGTTGTTGATGGCATGGCGGTTTGATAAGGTCAGTGCATGTGGGTCGGGCAAAGGCAAGGCTAGCGTGTTGGTCTGCCTGACAAATGTTAACCCACATGGGAATCCTGACATGGCGCCACAGGCGGATACATTCTTCCGGGAGAATCAGCTTCCAGCATACTACGGCGAAATCGACTCCATCCGGTCCGTTGTCTGCAGTTTCTCCTCCGCAGCTGTACGGCCGTGTGCCGCGTGTCTGGCCCTCAACAGAAATCACCAATTGAAGCGTTCAGCCGACGCTGCTTCACTGCGAGTCGCTGCGACACAGCGAGTCGCGACAGACCCAAGTGTCATTGTCCCCTTCCGTTCTGCCGAGGGACTTGAGCGTGCGGGACACGTTGAGCTTTTTGAGCGGCTTAAGGTGGTCACATCCGCATTGATCGCCGAGCGGGCAGATCGAATAGCGCTGGACAGGGAGATTAAGCGGCGGACATCCCTTTTCCAGGCTGATAGCGTGAGGCTACAGGCATACGCTCGGGCAGATGCATCACGCAGTGAACTCGTCCGACTGCTCGAAGCATCACAACAACGAGGTATGATGCAGTGTCGGCATGCGTGAGTAGTGTAGGCTGGCATGCGTGTACACATGCCTTGACTTGTTAACCATCGGACATCGATTGACATTCAGGACTCGTTGACGGCACAATTCAACAGTTGCTGCGGGGTATCATCCGGGGTCTCAGCGTCAAAGGACAACAACGCCAGCCAGAGGAGGTAGCTTTTTACATTGCCCCTTGCAGTGACGTGGGTGTCCGTGCTCCAACCCGTCATGCTGACTATTGACCAAATGCACATTGGCTGGCGCCTAAGGTACGCGGGCCTGCTGTGGGGTACATTAAAAGCCAGGAGCATGGCCATGCATTCACGGGCGAATGACTGGTACCAAATAGGATCAGCAATGTCGACACTGTAACACGTGCTGCAGGCGCCAGCTCATCAACCCCCGGAAGATGATGATGATCGGGCCATACCTCATCAGCTTCCCTGCACTGCGCGCGCTGAGCAAGCGCATGCCCCATGTCAACATCTCGTCCCAGGATCTCAACTACAAGGACAAACAGAACCAGCGCGCCACTCTCAAGTAGGCTCTATCCAACCTGGAATTAGGTACAGACTGGTTTGTGGCTGACTTACCGCCATTCACTGACAGACAGGTTGGCCGACCTCGACATGGATCCCTCAACTGGAAGCGTCAAGGCAGTCAGTGTGCTGCGTGACGCACTGGAGACAGGTTCACGCAGTCCGGTTGGCGGTGATGGTCCTATCGTTGACGGCTCGTATTATGCTACCTTCCTCTATGTGACGTTCATGCATTAGTTAGTAGCTGGCCGCTGAAAAGGCCTCTCGAGATGCTGGTGGTCGTGCTATGCGTGTACCAGCTTACTGTGCTTACTGTGTACCAGCTACTACAGCTACATTGTGCCGGGCCACACTACTGCAGGGCAGGCGCGTGTGCTTACATTTCTTTGTCTGCGTGAATGATTGGATGTATGAATGAATGGACGAATGAAAGGTGTGGTTAACATGCCCCTGGTTTGGTTCGGTTCGGGTGGTGGTATCTTTTTGAACACATGTAGTCTGGTCGAGTGCCGGGGGCCCTTAGCAGGACTGAAGCACAGTTCAAGACGAGGCGTGTGGATATGTCTGCTTGTCTGAACGAAGGAATGAATGAATGAATAGACCGGGTGTTAAAATTGTGAGCGACTTGCCATGCAGACACACCTTTGGTTCTGGTCGGTTCAGGTGATGGTAACTTTTCACACATACACACACAATGAATGTATGGGTGAATGAGTACGGAGTACGGTAACAAGGCGTG